CCGTGTTGTATTTTATTTATGTCATACCCACCCAAGAAAACACGCCTTTCAATGCAAGATGAGCCAAAAGTTGGTGCCACTGAACCCTAAACTGCAACAACATCAATTCCAACGTCCGGATTCTGTATTCGAATTTTCGAAAGGGGCACAAGCGGGTAGGGCGAGACGCGTTCGAATCGTTTTATGGAAGCCATGGAAGCGTTCGATAACGGGTTCCGGACCGGGCCGTACCGTAAAGTACGGCCCGGTCTGGAACCCGTTATCGAACGTTATCGCGGCCCGGGTATGATATAAAGTGCCTTTCCCAAGGGCACAAGATCGGTGACATGGCAGGATTTGAAACCGGGACCTCTTGTTTCTGAAGCACTCTGCTATTACGCCACACGACCCCGTGATGAATAAAATCAAACATTCACGTTCTTACACAACCCGTGTACTGCTTCACGCCGCTATATGTAGCCAATGTAGGTGGCGCATTTGCAGTGACAACACAATCCCAAACGTTGCAGAGTTTGTGTCCCCCCTCGTCCCAGTTCATCACCGGTTGTAAAAGAAAAAAATATCTCTATCCTATGCCCTACCAACCTGATGAAGTTATTTTCAGACGACGTACCTATCAGCTGGCTGATGGCTGTGTTGAGGTTTTTGATCTGGTCCTGCAGTTCTTTCATTTTTGCTGTCTGTTCCTGAAGCTTTTCTCCCAACTTGCCATTGGACTCCTCTAAATCCTGTGTGCGGAACTGCATCTCTGCTATCTCATTCTCTACTGCTAGTCGTGCAGCCTCCTCCTAGTGGAGTAAAGAATGAATGAATAAAATAATTAATGAAACAAAAAAGCCATACATGGGTATGTCTGTGCTCTAAATGTTTGTATATATCCAGTCATAATAGTATTTTGTGATTTTATGCGCTCCAAATTAAGGAGGAATAAAGCACAGGGGGCAGAAAGAAACGAGAAAGAATGAATGAATGAAGCTAATAATGAAGATTTCAAATGCTATAACCGCAGTAAATACTAGCAATGTAATGTGCTAACCAACGAGCTTTCGGTCAAATCTCTTAACATTTTTTTGAGCAATGAATGAATTTGGTCCAAACAGGATAGGTAAAGGTCATCTTGACCCTGATCTAGTAACTAGACACTAAATACAGGAAATTGGAGATTTCGGACGACCGAGAAGAATTTTAGTCTTCTGAGAATTCCAGTTTCCAGAATTTCCCCTGATGACCTCTAATTCCTGTTGGCTCTCGGCCAGATTCTGCGACCTTTTAGGTTCACCGCATTTCCGTTGTATGACCTTTTGATCGCCTGTATTCCAGCCTGTCAATCTTACCACCCACGTACTATCAACCTAATCTGTCCGGACAAATATACATGCAACCCCCCAGACAATCCACCCAAAACAATGCTTTCGTACTGTTTGAATTAATAACATATATGAATATCTTTGACACGATGATAAGATAAGGAACAAGTTCAGCTTCAACTCGCTTCCCTGCGCTGTGCTATACAATATTTTTCTAAGCAGATAAAGAAAGTGAATTTGTACGCGTTTTGTACGACTGACTGAAGTGGTGAACGTAACTTGTAACTTTTTATAATAAAAGTAATTTCTCTCTGAAGTGTAAAATGATGCCATATTAGATCACATGTCACCACCACTAGAGTCTAACACACAAAATGGTTCTATGGAGCCTGTCTCAGTAAAGACATAGAACGAAGGCTGCTTGAAGTGTGATTATTCAGGATAGCCACCACGAACAGAATCGCAATGTCTAACAAGGATTGTTGATCATGAGAAAACCGAGTAACGTTACATCCTAGCCTCTACCACGGACCGCGGATCGCTGGAAAAATAGTAGAAATTGGCCGAAATAAAGGGATAATATACCAGAGAAGATCCCGGACCATAGAAGATCTAATTGTGGGTCGCGAATTAGATCTTCTATGGCCCGGGAACTTCTCTGGTATACTATCCTTTCATTTCGGCCAATTTCTACTATTTATCCAGCGATCCGCGGTGCCTGGTAGAGGCTAGTTGCATCCGCCGTCCTTCTAATTAAGACCTTTCTCTGACCTTGGTAGTTTGGGCCGGGAGATGTGTTTGAACAAAACTCTCTCTCTCTCTTTCTCTCTCTCTCTCACTCGTTTTTATCATTTTTTTTATCAGAACAGAACAGCAATAGAATGTCTCCTACCTTCAGCAGGTTGTTTTTCTTCTCCACCAAAGCCTGAGACCGTCTTTCCTCGGCCATGTCAATCGCTGAAAGAAATTATAGTGGAATATATAATATTATATGATACACAACATAACAGCAGAGGTTCAAATTTGGAAAATATCGCTAGGTGGCGTGATTGTCTCACGCTGCACCAGCGTCTGTTCTGTCCGGCAATGTTGAGACATTATTCCAATGAGGTTATAGAGGAAACTATAACATTGATTCTTCAGAGCTTTTTTTCATCGATGTAGCTGACAGTTGGCTTGATTAGTTGAAATATACTGATCTGGTAGTGACGCTGACCCAATGATATAAAATTTGATTTAACCACCTGTATTGAAATCCGTATTTTGAAACAGTTTTGATGTTAGTATATCTTTTACTGTTGCTGAAATGGTCCGTAACTGAATGTATGCGTTATGCGAAGATGCCTAAGGCTAATCTAATTTAATTTGTTGTTTCTCGGATTCACCCTGTCCATTTTTTTCTGATTTGCCAAATTTTTTTTTTTTACTACTACTAATTTTAGGTTCTAAAATGCTCAATGAAAGACATAGTTTGCCCCATAGTTTGAAGAAAGTCATTTTATTCCTCGTTGTTAAAGTTTTTCAATGTACCAATGCAACTTTGTTTCATTAAAAGTTCAAAATCTATTGTTTTAATAATAAACCAGCCTGGTATGTTAACTTCATGGCTCATATCGTAACATTTCCGGCTATCATCGGGTGCCCTGGCATGTTTTTTTTCGCCATGTCGCTTCATATTTTTTTCTGAAAAAATCCGAGAAGCAACAAATTAGATTGGTGTGGCCTTACCTTGGTCCATGTCTCTGAGTTGGTTCTGTAAGTCCGTGTGACGTTTCCTGGGTGAAAATGTCTCCTGACAGCCGCCGACAGGCTTGTCCACCAGGAGAGAGTACAGGCAGCTGTCGCCATGTTCCGTCACGTCATAATTCGGAGTTGGGTCGGTTTGGGCCAAAGAAAGAGCAAGAATTGTGGAGAAAAATAGAGAAATGCGCCGATACCTCGCCATTATTGTTACCGGTGACAAAGTACACGTACTGCAAGGCACAATACAGGTGGAGGTTATTAAAGGGGTAGCTGGGCTCCGGATCGAGGATACCAAATCCACGGCATTAGCAGACGATACCATTTCGTGTACGAGAAATTATATGCCTCTTATAGCAGAAAATGTTGTTTCGTAATTTGTCAATTTATTACTTTCAATGTGAAATGGACAGTGGTCACTGCCGTACTTGATATGCTGTAAGTTTCTTTCAAACTACATTTTTTGTAATATGTATTTCGTCCATAGAAATACTGACTCATTTGTTCATTCAGTGTAAAAGCGTGGCCAAGACGCCAGACTCGCGTTTCAGCACTGTTGCAAACCCCATGAGAGCCTCAGATTGAAGGTAGCTGTCCTCGAGTAATATGACCTTTCCGTATGAACTATCAAATATTTGTCTAATTTATCAGAGTTTCCCAGATTAGGTACATGTGTGTGTGCGGGCGGGATTACCTTCAGATTGTTTGTTCGGCTTGAAAAGATTAAAACCTAATCCCACAACAATAGGTGTTCAGTTGTTATAGACCTGGGATAAAGACAACGGACGGATTTCAATATACAGATGACTTGTTTGTCAGTCGTGGGCATTGGTCCACTCAGGCTGCCATTACTGCTTAGGCCACACCATCTTAATTTTATGGATGACGTCCTCTGAAGACCCCCAAACAAGTGCGCGCGGGCGAATAAAAAAACAATTTCGGCGAAAAATAAAAATGTTACTAAACTACAGGAATACAAAGCTGGTATTGTGAATATGCGGTAGTATAAAGTGACGTATACGACAGGCCGGCACATGCTGGCTTTTTGCGAAGTTTTGAATCGGCGCTGTACATATGTACTGAGTTCTTGAGTCGTGGAGCTTCAGTAGCCTTGTTGCCCGGCTCCGTATTGTCGCTAACTACCATGGACTACCCAGGCCTGGAACCAGACCAGAGCTTCGGAGGACGTGTTTTTTTTTTTAGGACAGGCGAAAATCAATGGCTCAATGGCAATGCGCGCGCGGATGTCATCCTTAAAATTAAGGCTGTGTGGCCTTATTTTTCTGCCCTACACGGCAATTGCTAGCCTGGGTACCATCCCCAGTAGTATATTCGCAAACTCTATAACTGTTATAGAGTTTGCGAATATACTACTGGGGATGGTACCCAGGCTAGGCAATTGCTCCGTCGGAACAAAATTCAGTCTCCAAAATTAGGCCGCAGCAGGTAAATTTTATGGATGGCATCCTCCGCAGACTCCAAATCTAATGTGAGCGGGCGAAAAAAAACAAGGTGGGCCGAAAAAAAACAAGGTTCCTACAATTTAAAATTTTTACTCAATCATTGTACAAATGGTTTTGATTCAGTAGGAACATCACATATACACAGCCAACATCACATATCACTGCATCAAAGTATAAGAGACAAACATTAAATCAGAGCCTTTTCTTGTCTCCTCTCTTCATAGTTATCTGCCATCCACCTTCCGGCATGGCAACAGACATCTTTGCCCATTTTCGGCAAGTTGACCACTGTGAGAAAGCAACAAAAATCCAAAATCAGGCGAAAATTAATGCGCGCGCTGATGTCATCCATAAAATTTACTTACTGTGGCCTTACCAGGGACCAAAATTAGTTTTTCGTGTATTTTATTTTTATTTTATTCACATGGATTTTTGAGCATTGGATAGGAAGCACTTGTTGTGCTTTTGTGAATCCGCTGCTCAATAGACATAATACAAATGTTAACGTAAAGATGACATAAAGTATAACATAAACGTAAAATAAAAGTGGCTGGCGCACCAATACCTATAGCATAACATTAATGAGATTGGTCAAATCTTCCAGAGTGGTGGATATAGTTAAACACAATATCAAGTTTGTAAGGTATGGGAGGGAGGGGCTGCCTGTAAGAAGTAAAGTACATAATGTGGCGTCGTTTGCGTTGAGTGTATTTGTATGCTTAATTTCATAATTGAGATATGATACATGATGTAGTATTATGAATATCATTTAAAGACAACAAAACACAAAAGGCGGAACAATCATTCTTAATATTCGAAATTTAAGTTAGTTGAGCGATCTTGAAATCTTTTGTCGCGCAAGAAAAGAGGCTGTTGCCTCTCAAAACACACACACGAATATCATAAATGTTCCCTGATCATAATGATCAGTTGCTTTTACGAACAATATTTAAGTTGAAAAAGCTTCGCTAAGATACAAACAATTAGCTTTTTAGCAAGAAAAGATTTGAATAATCTCCAAGCAGATTTATTTGGCTGTTTTACGCAATGTTTTGCAACGCTTTCTCCGTCTTTCTGGTCGTGCGCCTTTCTAACTCTTCATCTACATGTATGAAAGGCGTACAAGTAAAAGACATGGCAAATGTTACAAAACACGCGTGAATCATCTGCTTGGAGATTAAGGTTTAAACGAAAATTAAGGTTCACTGCAAAGCGCCTTCAAGATTTTCGGCCCTCTGTCGCTTAAGAGTGGATACCTGCATTTCAAGATAGCACATGAAACTCATAAGGATACTTTATCCTATAAAAAGCGGCTATATGATAATATAAGTTTATTATGAGTTTATTATTGGTGTTTTATAGGAATTTTAAGAAAAGTATAACAGAGATAGGAAAAGGTTTATTGTAAAATCTTCGCCAAACAATAAATGAATACGCTAAATTTTTAACTCTTTCGGTTCATTATTTGGAGACAGCAGAAGACCCCCCCATTTTTCTTGTGTGTGGTTTTGTGGCGTGTTCTTTTTGCCTGTAACCGTTAATTTGAATGAAATGTAATGGCTAGCACTTCTACAGGGTACACACTGAGGTATAAAGAGCCCACGTCTGTCGAAAGTCCGGCGTTCATACGTAGTGACCTGGACATGCCTAGGATGGTAGGTAGCTCTAAGACGTGTGCATGTGCAAGTGATGACCCCTAGCAGTTTGTTTGGCAATTACAGTAGCGTTTATTTTAATATGTTTAAAGGAAGATAACGCAAGAACCCGTTGATTTTTGATACATGTAGTAGGTAATGTTTCAAACTTATAATACGTTCTTGAGAGCAACAGGAACATCGAAATATATGAATTAAAAATTGTGACCTAATCTGCACAATTAATGTTAAAATTAAACATGTCTGTAGATAAAGTTATTAGACATAATGTACTATTAGGTCTAAGGTTGTTTTATTGCACTGTAGACAGTTGTTTACACACATGCACGCAGCCCAGGTCAAACTGTAACCAACATACCTGGTAACATGTTCACTTGTGGATGAGAAAATCCCCCGCATGACCATTCAATGCTAATTACCCTTTGGCTATCTACATACATGTATGCTTCTATTTGTTGTCTATATTCTACAGTGTAAAACTTTAAAGTCAACTTCTCGGCCTTACAGTCACATTTAACACCTGTACATTTACACCTATCTTAAGTTATATCTACACCTACAACCACACCTGTCCTGTGGCTTCATGCCCGTAGCCAAGGGGGGTTCGGGGCGTTCGGAAGACCCCCCCCCCAAGGCTCAAAGGTCCACTTGGTCCACTTTTTATGTAAAGGTCCACTTTTTGGTCCACTTTTTATGTAAAGGTCCAAGATTTTTCTTGAAAAGATGGACTAGAATCGTAGAAAAACTGCTCCCTTTGTCATTGAATAAAAATTTATCTTTGATTTTTTCTTGAAAATCCTCTAAAAAATGCACGAAACGCCATTTTAGAAGGTTCATTTTTAAAAATTTCCCAGGAGAGCATGCCCCCGGACCCCCCTAGGAACCTCGCGCCTACGGCGCTTGAGGTCCCCTTCAAAATCCTGGCTACGGGCATGAGCTTAATACCTAGTACATCTAATGGTGACCCAAAAAGAAGAAGATACCTACATCTAAGTACTTGTTCATTTACATCCACTCCTAAAATGCTAGCCCAAAATCTGATGCGAGAAAGCTGTCCAAAATTCTACCATGAAATATAATGTTTCTCAATTTTGCTCATTGCATACAGAAATTAAAATTGGTGTAAGACTAAGAAAATTGCGGTGTGATGGAAGCACTGCAGCAGTTTCTTCATACATATCCGTACAAATATGACAATGTTGACCTGTACTAAAGCATCAAAGTGCCCACTGTAAGGCCCATAAGGCCATGTCAATTTGATTATATGGCTGACATTCGTGCTTGCATTAATTTTTGTCCAAGAAAAGGTTTCAACTATACTGTAAATTGTACAAAGTAGCTGCAAAATAAACAAATATATACAGGAACTGCAAATTTGCAAAAGATGTAATATTAGAAATCAATACTAATGTTGTTGAACTCAATTTCGAAGGAAAAGAAGAAAATGCAAAGAACTAAAAAGGAAGAGTCTATTATTCACCATACCATACTTTGTGTGTTGTTCAACCTTAAAAAAATTAATGATGACATAGACTTCATAATAAGGGCAAATTTTTTTTTGCCTAACTTTTTTTTCCGCATGCTCACATCAGTTTTGAAGTTCCCAGAGGATGTCATCCATATGGTCAAATCAACATGACATATTACCTTTAACAAGCCAAAAGTACTGACAATTTACTGTTAAGTACTGGTGTCATCTACAATGTACTAAACTGGTGTCATCTACTAAACATTTACTAAATATTCACACTTTGCAAGGCTGTGATTGGCTAAATATTCCAGTAAATGTCCAGTAATAGACAGTAAATGGACAGTAATGGTCTGATTGGTCAAACAAGACATTGGTAAAAACACCAACAGTAAATAGAGGCATAAGTACTTACCAGTGATGCTTCAGTAAAACAGTAGAAGACGATTTATTAAAAAATAACTGAAATTTTACTGTTAGTAGTTGATCAGTACTTAACAGTAAATTTTCAGTACTGATGGTTTGCCAAGGGTAGTCCCATAATCTACACTACAAAGTCCTTAGGTCTAATCTTCATCTCTGTGCGCCTCAGACTGAGGCTGCCCCTCCACGGCAGCCAGGTCACCCCCCTCCCCAGGTTCCCTGAGCCTTGGTACAGTCCGTTCAGGTTAGTCTGGACACAGCCACGGTAGTACCACCAGCCACCTCTGTACAGGGCAGACAGGACAGTGTCAAATAATTATGCAAAGCAAGCCCTAATTAGCATAATTCATGTTTAAAGTTAAAAGATTTGGTTCAACACAAAAAATTCTCTCACCTAGACCTTTGACCAGTCACTCTGGTCTTCCTCAGTACACTGACCCAATGAAGCTTGTCATGTGGCTTCTCTGAAAGTGTGACATATACATCAGGGCCCATCACCCTTTATTGAACCGTGATGGGGGCCGACATCGTCTACCAGATACCTTTGACCCTGAGTGTTGACCTCACACTTTAAAGAAGCCACGTGACAAGCTTCACTGGGTCAGTGTACTGAGAAAGACCAGAGTGACTGATGGATTGAAGCTCTAGGTGAGAGAATTTTTTGTGTTGGAACAAAAGTTTTAAGTTAACTTTAAACAAAAGTCATGTAACTACCAACACAGATGAGCTTTCATGATAGCATAATTCATAATTCATATATTAGAATATTCATCTCCACCTTAGTAACAAATATTCCAAGTATCATATTCCCATAATTCACCAGTTTTTACCATTAATTATCCAAATAAGGTCATGATTTGAATAATATATAGTTTATCATCTAATAATTTTTCCTTTCATCCAAATTACATATCTCATGAATTAGATAGTCCTAACATTTACCTAACTTTTCTCATTAATTATAAATTAATCAAGGCATCAATTAGCATAATTGATGAGTCATTAAATTGGTATTCACCCAGATTAGCTACCAGGTGAAAATCATAAAAATTATTTTCAAATTCTGCTACAAAATCACCAGCTAACAGCACTGTTAGGGTCACTTAACTTATGTCTCTTCTTTCTTAGCCCACAGTCTTTCTACCATTAAAAAAACTTGACCATAGCATGTTCAGAACAGATGATACAAAAACTGGAAGTGCAGTTTCAGCACCAAGGAGAGACCCTAGGGGTCCAAAATCCAATGAGTTCCTGATTTGGGGTCACCCTATCCACAGACCAAGTATCATTAGATTCCATTCATTGTAAACTTCTTGAGTTATGCTGCTTGAAAACAAGCAAACAAACAAACAAACAGACAGACAGTCAAATGCTACTGAAAACATAACCTTCATGACAGAGGTAATAACATGGCTACACAAGAAAATCAGCTGCATATAGGTATATATTTCTAATTGTAGGGAACAATTGTTTCAAAACCTTGTAATCCCCCCAAATTTACTGAAACAAACTGGCAAATTTATAAAGTTTAACTCCTTCCAGTAGAAACTTTGCATTACTGACTATTGTGTATTAATATAATATTACCAACTTGTAAACAGTAACATCTCCAACTCTCTCTCTTTCTCTCTCTATATATATATACAATGTATATACATAATACATAATTTATATGTACTAATTCCAATCAATATTGTCTTAAATGATTGACAATTGAGTAAAAGAAAAGAGCTGAGCATGGTACTCTGAAAGATAAATACTGTATGCATCTACCTCAATTTGAACCCATGACTTCATGCTAAATTAGCATCATGATGTTTGGCCTGATTATTATTGACAAACTTACCTGTAGCCTTGAGCACAGTTGATGGCAGCATTTCCATCATTGTCCATGTCACTAGTGCTGAAGTACTGCTGGTCATGTCTGTCCATGGCGTCCCCGGCTGTACCATTGTACCCAGATACACTCAACCTGTACTTCTCTTCTGCACTCCCTACCTGGAAAAGAACAAAAAACTGTTATAGACTATTCTTTTCAAAACCAGGCAGGTGCTCAAGTGGGTGAGTGGATGTGTAAGTGAATGGGTAGGTGACTGAGTAGATGTGTGAATGAGGACTGAGTGAGTGAGTGGTTAGTGGATTTGTGAATGACTTGGTGAGTGGATGAATAAATGAGTGAATGAGTGGATGTGTTAATTAGTGGGTGAGTGAATGTGTGAATGAAGGAATGAGAGAATGACTAGTGACATGTTTAGAACAAGACTAAATGCAATGTAAAATGACATTGCCACCATTGCCATAGTGGTCTGTGCTGGTGTTTTCTTATTAATTATGCAAATAAGGTCTTCATTTATATAATCAGTATCTACCAAAATGTTCCTCCTGTTCTCAATTATGCATGTCACAACATATCAAAGCTGCAAGCTCCAATCCAGTACCATAACAAGACACTAGGGAGCCCAAACCTTATCATTGAGGTCTCATCAAGACCTTACCTACTATATACATATGTAAGTACAGCAAATTCATGACAATCTATCCGTAGCTTCTTAAAATAATATTGTGCTAAACTGTGTATTCGTGTCCTGCGGGACCCATATATATATAATAATGGCTTGGACATACAGTACCATCTACATAGTGCCCTGTGTATGTACCATTTGGGGGTGTTTGTCATGCAACGCATCACACCGCAGTGAAACGCAACGGATGCGAAAGTAACTACGCCACCGCAGGGCAAAAAAAGTCAGGGGTCTGTGACCTGATTACAACTTCAAATTACTTGAAAAGATTGTGTAAAAAAGTGTTCAGCAGGACAAGGGTTCTTGTAGACTGCAAACCATTAGGCACACCCCTGAGGCGTCGCCAAAAACACCATTGAGTGATATTCATCAATAAGGATCACCTTGAAGGAGTCATATTGAGCGAACGCCTTCTCCCCTGCCTGGTCCTCCAGCTGCACATACAGGCTGTAATCCTGGCCGGCTGTCAGCTGGTGCAGCAGGTCATTCCCCAGCCAGTACTCTGTGGTCGGCAGGCCAAAACCTGACCTGTAGTCAGCCCAGGTTCTGTGAAATATGTGGATTGGATACATCTGATCTGACTCATTTTGAGTGTCTATGTAAGACACAGTCTACCAGGTCAGTATTTAAACATTTCTTAAACTTGGAACATTTTTTTACTCATCTTAGGCCATGCCAATTTAATTTCTTGGTTAACGGATTTGCCCACGTCATTTTTTTCTGATTTGCAGAAAAAAAATTCAGAATCAACTGCAAAATGCTCATATTTTGTCCTGAACAGTTGAAAACAGTCCTTTTCTTCCTAGTTGTTACAGTTATCCATCTTTCAGTGCAGTGGTATCATTAAAAGTTCAAAACTCATTGTTTAAATTTTGAACTAACCTGGTGTGTTGACTTCATGGCTCCTCTGGTAATTCATTTTGGGCCATAATAGGATGCCTAGGCCTGTTTTCATTTTTTTTGCCCGCCCGCTCCATTATTTTTCTAGAAAAATTCGTTAACCAAGAATTTGAATTGGTGTGGCCTTGCCTTCGATTACTTGACAGCTAGCTTGAATATCAGTGTCCTCAGTTTCAGAATTCTAGCACCATTTCCTGGCCAGTGGACTGTTCTGAAAATTTTCCCTTCGGTATTATTTGCTGACAATTGCACCAAATAATTGTTGAACTCACCTGAAGAAGTTCTCTCCACCGTTTATCCTCCTCTGTATGACAGTCCAGCCTCCCCCTGATGTAGTCATGTCACAGTACACACGTCTGTCCTCCCCAGCTACAGTTATACTGTACACTCCATCTGGACTAGCCTGGTCCTGTCTCTTCACATCTGAACAGTCTGTCAAACAAGGAATCAGAGCGACAATGGGAGTCAAATTGAGTATAAGTTACAAAGTGTTGTACAGTTAAGTACATTATACTGTACACTCCGCCTGAACTAGCCTGGTCATGTCTCTTCACATCTGAACAGTCTGTCAAACAACAACAAGGAAGCAGATTGACAATGGGAGTCAATGAGTATAGGTTACAGAGTGTGAATGAGTGAGTGAATAAGTGGGTGAGTGGATGTGTAAGTGAATTGGTTGGTGAGTAGATGTGTGAATGAAGGACTGAGTGAAGGAGTGGGTGGGTGGATGTGTGAATGAGTTTGTGAGTGGATTAATGAATGAGTGGGTGAGTGAATTAGTGGGTGAGTGGATGTGTGAATGAAGGATGAGTGAGTGACTGAATGAATGTGTGAATGAGTGGGTGAGTGAATGACTGGGTGAGCGGATGTGTGAATGAAGGAACAAGTGTGTGAGTGAATGAATGAAGGGATGAGTGGGTGAGTGGATGTGTGAATGAGTGAGCAAATGTGCAAATAAATGAGTGAAGGAGTGGATGCGTAGATGAGTGGGTGAGTGGATGAGTAAATGAGTGGATGTGTGAATGAAGGAATGAGCGAATGAGTGGGTGAGTGGATATGTGAATGAATGAATGGGTGAGTGAGTGGATGTGTGAATGAGTGAGTGAGTTAATGTATGAATGAATGAATGAATGGGTGAGTGAGTGGATGTGTGAATTAGTGGATGTGTGAGTGGATGTGTGAATGAGGGAATGAGTGGGAGAGTGAGTGGATGTGTGAATGAATGAGTGGGTGAGTGAGTGGATGTGTGAATGAATGAGTGGGTGAGTGGATGTGTGAATGAATGAGTGGATGTGTGAGTGGATGTGTGAATGAATGAATGAGTGGGTGAGTGGATATGTGAATGAATGAATGGGTGAGTGAGTGGATGTGTGAATGAGTGAGTGAGTTAATGTATGAATGAATGAATGAATGGGTGAGTGAGTGGATGTGTGAATTAGTGGATGAGTTAATGTATGAATGAATGAATGAATGAATGAATGGGTGAGTGAGTGGATGTGTGAATGAGTGGATGTGTGAATGAATGAGTGGGTGAGTGAGTGGAT